GCTGGTGGCACCGTGGTGATGAACATGAAGCAAATGCCACGTTGACCTTGCTGTTTGTTCACCAGATGAAATCAGAAGAGCTTTCCCTTGGAGAGACCTCACAGCAAGTTGAAAGTCTGTGGGTTTGGTTTTTCCACCTGAGCTGGTGTGATTGTTCTGTAGCACTTGTTGTCATTACTGGTGCTCAGTACCTTTTACACCACAAGTATTTTCCCCTCCTCTCTCCAACCATGCCACTTAGTCCTGTGGGATGCTTGGCCCAATAATGAGTTGTAGTTTTAAGGCTGGTCTCTGCAGCAAGGTATTTTTAACTGAGGCAGGCCTGAGAAGCTGCTAAGAACTGTAACTGCTGCTGATGGAGAAGAACTGACAGAAAGGGGACACTACAGAACATCTCCTGAGCAGGGCATTTTTTTCAGAAGCAGCCTGTGTCTGGGTTTGAGAAGAGCTGTGCACGACAGCAAACCATCTTTTGGGTGGTAAAATGGTTTTTATTTTCAATGAATGCTGTGGTGCACTAAACTTTGGGGATGGATTGGCAAATAAAACAGGATCATTGACGTACAAGTGTGATATTTAATTTCCCCAGTGCCTTCTGGGGGGAAAATGGTGTATGGCACCCAAATCCCATTGCTTGGCCCCCATGTATTGTCTTTTGGGGATGGATTGGCAAATAAAACAAGATCATTGACGTACAAGTGTGATATTTCATTTCCCCAGTGCCTTCTGGGGTGAAAATGGTGTATGGCACCCAAGTCCCATTGCTTGGCCCCCATGTATTGTCTCTGAGTGTGCTGCACTCTGCAGAATTCAGTATTAAGTTATCAAACTTGGTTAGAAAATACTTCTTTTAAAATTTGCTCTTCTGTTGAGCCAATTGATCCAGCATAGATTGAGCAGGGCCTTCCCTGGGTAAGTTTTAGGTTCAGTAGGATGCCCTCAGATGAGGGCTGCTCTCATTTTGAGCAGGCCTTGAATTTATAACCACTCACATGCAAATAATATCCATCCCCTCTCTAGTGTACACTGAGGTTGGGCTCCAGAGGACAAGCAGACATGTCCTACTTGCAGGTTTTCTAGTTGCTTTTCTCCCTACATGGCATTTTTTGGAGCTTGTTTCCTGTAATCCAGATGTGGGAGACTTCAGGAGAGGTTTGGCTGCCTGCTGGAGCTGCTTGGGGCATTTGGAGAATTCCAGCTGCCCTGGTGGAGCTTCTGGAGGGGGGTTTGTGGTGCTGCCAGTGATGCGCTTCCAAATGCATGGGTGGCATGAAGATGACCAAGGGAGAGCAGGGCCTGCTAATAACTAATAGAAATGCAAGTTCCTGTGTGCACAGAGATCCTCAAAGGTCATTTTCTATTTATTTTTTTTGGTCTTTTGGAATCTTTCTGTCCAACAAATCCATTATAAATAGTAGCCCAAGCTTTTGATCTGAAACTGAGCTATCAGTATCCTTTGGAAGCAGTTTTGTTTGCTGGATTCCTTGTTGTGCTCCAAAACCATGGCTTAAACACCTTCTAGCTTCCCTCTCTGACACAGGGACACAAGGAAAACAACTAGGGAAAAGTGGGTTTGAAGTGCTCAGATTTAGAGCCTTGCAGTGCTTTTTCAAAGTGAGACATAACATGTTGCTCCCTCTCAACTGCTATTTTCCCCAATTTGTATTTCCCAACGTTCTCCAATGCATTAATGTGCTTTAAATAAAGCACTGACATGGCTGGCAGCTTGTTTCAGCATCTCTCTGATCTCCTCCCTAAATAATGTCTGTCTCAGAAGCACTGTGAGGATAAATTAATATGGTAGGGAATGTTGTGGGCTGCTAGAAGGGTGGGATGTTACAGCTCCATAGGTAAGCAGCTGCCTGTATCATTCTTCTCAGAAATTTGATAGGGGGAATGAGACTTTTTAGTCTGTTTTTCAAAGAACAGAGGCTTAGGCTTGTTTTTTAACTTCCTGTCCATTGTAGTCAAAATCTATCTGGGAAGCCACACTTCATTAGTTCTGTGGCTCAGAAAAGAACTTGTGGGGCATTTCCAGTCCGAGGTGAAATTTTTCTTCATTTTGATTCATAGATTCTCTCACAGAAACTTTGGGACCAGCAGTGGTAAACACTTGGGATGGCCATCAGGAACAAGGCAGATCAGTCCAGCCTTTCCTTCCTGCCTTGTGAAGGGGCCAGATTCTGCCCATCACTCTCTTCCAGCAGCAGCTCTGGGAAGTGATGGTCCTTGGAGTCCTTGGAGCTCAGTTCTGTGTCCCCTGTCATCTTTTACACGCTTGCTTTTCATGCAGAGGAAGCTCCTGTGCCATTTTTTGGGCAGCTCAGAGCTTCCAGATCCATCCCATCTACTCAGGACACGTTTTTGGTCTTCATCCCCAGCTACTGAAATAGTTTTGCATTGTTGGATGTGAATTCTGACTTCTCCCCAAAAGACATCCAGATTTTCTATTTTATAAACCCATCCTCAGTTCCATTAACTGCTTCCTTAATTAAGCCTCCCTAGACACTGTTTCACCCTGTATACTTTACAGAAGACACTTCAAGCACCTCTATTATCCAAGTATTTAAATTAATCCTCCTCTTCACCCTTTCCCAGCCAGATTTTCTTACACTGGTCCTTGCAGGATGTTTTTGGGAATGCTTTGTAAAGTATTAACTCAGCCAGAAGATGATGCAGTTAATTTTTTTCCCCTTTTCTTTTGCAGTGCAATTTTCCAGAGAACCAGGCTGGCTAGAAGGCACATTAAATGGCAAGAGAGGACTTATTCCACAAAATTATGTCCAGTTTTTGTAGCTTTGTGCATTGAACTCCACGAAAGGTGTACATGGTATCCATGGATTTTTGTTTTAGTCACTTCTCTCTACTTTTGTGACTGCCTTTCATCAACAAAGAGCTTGACTAGGGGTTGAAGATCCCAATCTGTATAAAGATGTTAAATGTTGCCAAATATGAACTACAAAAAAAAAAAAAAGATTCTTTAAGGGTTGGAATGGGTGGGAGGCCAAGAGGGGGGGATGGATAAATTTTTACCAGGGTGCTTTTTTCAGTTGTGGAGAGCAGTAGTGGTATGTTTGCACAATAAGTAGCATTTTAAGTCAAATATTTGTTTGATCTGTGACCTGACTATCAGTTGAAGAAGATTTTTTATAAACTTAGGATCCTGGAGATTTTGCACTGATAACCAGCAGTTTTAAAAGACTGTTATTTGGGTTTGGAAAATGCTGTTGCATAAAAAAAGGCTGACAATCAAATTATATTTCCAAGGGGAATAGATAGTACAGAACAGACACCAGTAAGTAAAATAATAGGTATCAAGACATGACATTTTTTCAAATGTCTTCAAAGAACACCTTCTTTTCTGTCGTGTGTGTGATTTATTTCCTAAAGACAAGACACATGAGCTTGTGGCACAGGCTCCTCTATGTCCTGGTTCCTTTGCTACTCAAAAGAAAAAATCACTGTAAATAAAATGTTACTTGACCTAAGCCTATGTTGGAGAATATTTTGCTCTGGTTCTGTAAGTTATGACATGAAATAATTATTGGCAGCCCCATGCAGTCTGCCTCGAGCAAGCTACAAAATGGATGGGGAACTTAAAATAGGCAACTCTGCAAGCTCAAGCCAAAAGGAAAAGAGAATCTCTGGCTGTGATCCTTCTGGATCCTGGAGGCATCTTGCATTTTCTCTCTTGTCTGTCTGGCTCTTCCTTGAGCTTCCCTGTTTTCCTCCCCTGTAATCATCAGCCGTAAGGTTTCAAGGATTCTTCACAGCATCAGAATCCTCAATTAGCTGCCTTATTATTTGTAGAATTATTTGAGGGGTAAGAGAGTTGTCTGTGGTCACAGGAAAAGCTCCCAGGAATCTCGTGGTGTATAAATCTGTGCCTTGTGATTAAAAAGAACCCCAAAAGTTACGTGCAGTTGATCCTTAATGTCTGTATTTTCCTCTTCAAGCAAGACCCCATGAGGCAGTGGAGAGGATGCAGGAAAATATGATGGGCTGACATGCTAACACAGGCTCAGCTGTTAAATTGGACTCTGTGGATATGGAGTCATCTCCTGCAGATATACTTAGCTTGCAAGTTTTTCTAACTCCTGTGATTAGTAAACCAGTTAATGGTTAATCCTAGAATCCTGGAATCCCAGATTCTTCATGCTGCTTTAAGGTTGGGACAGCTGCTTCCCCCTTAAGGTTTAACTCCATACCACTATTCTGTTCCTTTGCCCAGACTGCACAGGCCATTGGAGTCCACACAGATCATTTCCAGATGGAGCCAGGGTGGCCAAGCCAGCCCAGCTCTCCAGCACTGAGCCTCACAGCTTGGAGGAGTTTCAGGGGGTGTGTTTGAGCAGTGACTCCCTGCCACGAAGCTTGTAGGTAATTCTTGCCTTGGCCTCGCAGCCAAGTGGCCCAGGGGTTGAAGGTGAGTTTTGGACTTGTGTGAAAAGCAGATGAGGTTCTTCAGGGCTCAGTGTGAAGGGAGGAGTTGCCCCAGTCCATAGCCCACCAGCCTGCAGGTTTCTGCACGGAGATCTGTTCCGTGGCAAAGCACTCTGGTGGCATCCTGGCACTTGGGCCAGCAGCTCTGTCAGCTCATTTGTGGCCTCAAAGAGGCAGGATGGGGTCAGACTTGGTTTTCACAGCTATATTGGGTAGAAAATGCTGAAAGGGAGAGAATGTGCATCTCTGCTGGAAGCCTGGGAGGTGTGGGGCTTGCTCTGCTGGCTCGACAGATAGCAGAGCTGTGCTGACGTGAAGCTCACAGGCTTTGTAAGTCCCATCCATTTGTTTTGGTGGTGTTTGAAACGTGCAGAGCATGTTTGATCTTGTTCTGCCTGCTGTCTTCCAAAGGTCTCAATGTATTTCTTAGCTCTAGCTCTGTGGTTTGGGGTTTTGGGGTTTTTTCCCCCCCCCCCTCCTTTTAACTGAGGTGGTTGAAAAAGGCAGATCCATAGAGAAGGAGTAAGGGATTTAGTGTCTCTTCTATGCAGTCCTGTGACCCTCTTTGACTTTAGGTGAGCACTGCTGAGACTCCTGTTACCTCTGGAGCCACACAGCACCCAAAGAAGTAAAACTTTTCTCCTGAGAAACGACACAGGGAGCTGAGGTAATACCAATCCAAACTTTCTCACGTCCCAGACGTTGTCTGGAGGCAGCGGCGTGAGCCGAGCCAGATCAGATCTGGCTGTCAGGGCCAACCACTCTGCCTCTCAGGAATGTGCTTGTGGGAACTGCTGCCCACCACAGGGGTGTCCTGCTGAGGCTGAGCAAGGACCTGCACAGCAGAGTGCCCGTGGCACAGCTCCTCCTGCACCCTCGCTGCTCAACGGGGCCCTCGGGGATTGCTTGGAAAGGGAGATTAAAGAATGCTAAAAATGGAAAGGTACCCAGAAAGTGAGGCCCTCTGCCCATCCTTGGGGATGGCTTCTTGAGTCTGGGCTCCAGGACATGCCTCTTGGCCATCTTCCCCACAGGCTGGTAGATTTGGGGAGAGCAGAGTGATGTGCTGTGGTCTCGAGGCAGGAAGGAGGATGGGGAGTTGGTTGTGGAGGAAGGTCAAAGGGCTCCTCTCCTTTGGCCTGGCAGCAGGGCTGGTCCTTCTCCAGGGGGCTGGTCCTTCTCCAGGGGGCTGGTCCTTCTCCAGGGGGCTGGTCCTTCTCCAGGGGGCTGGTCCTTCTCCAGGGGGCTGGTCCTTCTCCAGGGGGCTGGTCCTTCTCCAGGGGGCTGGTCCTTCTCCAGGGGGCTGGTCCTTCTCCAGGGGGCTGGTCCTTCTCCAGGGGGCTGGTCCTTCTCCAGGGGGCTGGTCCTTCTCCAGGGGGCTGGTCCTTCTCCAGGGGGCTGGTCCTTCTCCAGGGGGCTGGTCCTTCTCCAGGGGATCCTTCTCCAAGGGTCTGGTCCTTCTCCAGGGGCTGGTCTGAGCTGTCCTCTCCTAGGAGCTGCCCTCGTGTCAGAGCTGTGAGTTCTTCAGGGGAAAAGCACTTGGGAGTTTGCAAAAACTGAGACCCTTGGCTGAAAATGAAGAGAGGGTGCTTGAGGAAAACAATAAATCCCATTTTGTGGTGCTTAGACAAAATGGTGTTCACCTTGCCATGGCTGTGGGGCTGGAGGTGGAGGCCCCAGCCTGGCAGATGAAGGTCCAGTGTGTGTTGGCTGCATCATTAATGGAGAAGCTGAGAGTCCTGATGAGCTGGGATCAGCA